CGCCCAATTTAGATGGCGTTTGGATCTTCACCCCGAATAGGCAGGGTGGCCCGAGCCGCACCTGGAGAGCTTGTTCCAAATCGGATCCAGATAAAAAAATGTATGGGTATAAATGGGTGGGTATGCATCATTACCCAATAATTTAAGCTTTTAAATAAATAGACAAGTGCCCATCTGTTTTACTAACCATCAATACACCCCATATGCTATTTTTTGGTCAAATTTTATTCGAATTTGAAATTATATTTTTCAATTCTACATAAGATTGTCGAATATTTTGAAATTTGTCCCGAGGTCTAAACTAAATGAACTAGGATTATTTTGATTTTTTGCATTTAGTGATTTTGGTGATAGCTATATATATATATATTTTTTCAAACAGACACTAATTTTATGATTGTTTTTAAATTTTCTTATATTGGTAGATATATATATATATATATATATATATATATATATATATTGCAAGGCAAAATTTAACATTCATTAATTAAATTTCAAAATTCTTTTTGTTCATTCGTGGAAGTCAGGCCCCCCTAAAATGGGATAAGCAGGGCCCTCTTTGTCAACTGTTTTGTGTTTTATTTTTTTGCATTGGACAATAACGAAGCAAAACACGAAAACATATTTGGTAATATTTGCTGTGATTTCAATAATACTGAAATGAAAAGCCAAAATTAAAAGTGTCAAATTGGTGTTTCTGGTTGTTTCCGTAGCAAAAACACTGTAACAATCAACAATAAAATTATAATAATAATAAAAATAAAAACTCTTAAATGACCTTTTTAACTAGCAATTTTATTTTTTTGACTTGCAAACATGTTTTCATATTTTTATATTTTAAAAAATCTTATAATAAATATAACATTACAAAAAATACTTTCAAATATTATTAAACACACTTCAGAACAAAAAAAAACATTATTATTTTGGATCAAATCAAAAACATCAAGCACAAACTATTACCAAACAGATCCTAAAAAGTCGAAACTATGCCAAATGACAATGAAATCCTTGCCATACAGCACAAGATTTTCAGCAAATGACAACGAAATACTTGCCATACAGCATATTTTCAGAGTTGAAACAAAGGAAACAGTCCGATTGATTTATCTTCAGTTCAATACCCAAAAATCTTCCTTGACGAGGACTTTACTTTTCACCGCCATTAAATTTCTATCTAGAAAGTAGGAGCAGGTCAAGTAATAAGTCTTTCTGAACCCCCACGGATTCTAGATGACCGTTATTGTAACAATTCACTCTACCACATGGTATGATATTGTCCGCTTCGAGCCTGAGCCCGCACACGATTTTGCTCTTGGGCTTCACCCCAAAAGGCCTCATACCAATTGGAGGTGACACACTTACATATAAGCACTTCACCTTTCCTTTACCCAGGCGATGTGGGATTGTGCACTCGTAGCTCGCCAGTGTGATAGCCTGACAGTGTCTCTCGCCCATTTGTAACGACCCACTCCACCACATGATATGATATTGTCCGCTTTGGGCCTGAGCTCGTACGTTTTGCTCTTTGGCTTCATCCCAAAAGGCCTCACCAGATAAAAGAAATGCACCAATCTTCCTTTTCTGCACCTTAGTGCATCCATCATCTCAAAATACTTTTCCATATCTTCAATCCACTTCTCAGCACTCTCTGATAAATCTAATCATAGGATTCGGCACATGAGGTGCATCCTCTAACTGAACATTGTCATGGTCAACACCATGTGCATCCTCTAACTGAACATTGTCTGATAAATCTAATCATAGGATTCGGCACATGAGGTGCATCCTCTAACTGAACATTGTCATGGTCAACACCATGTGCATCCTCTAACTGAACATTGTCATGGTACCTCCCTGACCTCTTATTTCCAGTAAAGAATGTCAATGCTGATACCAATTGTAATGACCTACTCCACCATATGGTATGATATTGTCCGCTTTGAGCCTGAGCCCGCACGATTTTGCTCTTGCGCTTCACCCTAAAAGGCCTCATACTAATTGGAGGTGACACACTTACATATAAGTATTTTACCTTTCCTCTACCCAGGCGATGTGGGACTGTGCACTCGTAACTCATCAGTGTGATAACTTGACAGTGTCTCTCGCACCCACCCACGACACACCCGCCCACTGAGTTATCACAGTCATTCATTCTGCTTGTTCAAGCTTGTGGCAATTGTAGATGACCGTCAGCATTGTCAAGGAAGGGTGAATTTTGGTTTCATACCATAAATATGTTAGGTGATCATTTTTATAACTATTCATTATAGTATGTTTTAGTTTCAAAATCAAATTAATCCAAATAAATAAAATGATGATGTGTATAATAAATTACGGAGTAATAAATATATCTACACGTCATTATTGATTCCAAGGTACTTCTCTAAAGCGCGTGACGTACTTTCGATTCAGTGTACAAATTTCTTTGTTGACTTACGGATTTTTCTTTCCCAGAGAACACTGCATTAAATAAAAAATACAGTGCAATAACAACATTAATGAATACTACGAACTGCCGGGATGACTACGAATCTATCAATCCTAATTCGATTCCTTACGAACAGAATACTAGCAGAAAATTTTGAATCCATCATGGATTCATGGGATAATGAATTGGATCAGATCCGTAGAATGACGGATCGGATTGTATTCGCAAATTGGAGTTTTTCTTAATTAGTTCAATATTATTTGATTTTTTAACCATAGCCCAATAAATAAAATTTTAATTTATCAACATTAATCTATTAAATTGTCATTAACTAATTAAACTAACTAATACATTATTTGAATATATATATATATATATCACGAATCAGATTAGATTTTAACAACTCAATTCATGATTCGATCCATGAGTTATGGATTCAATTTTTTTGAGTCCGTTACCAATCTGTAGATGTAGCAATCCAATTTGATTCGTACACTTCGGATCGCCACCCCTACTGTTAGGATAAAAAATAAAAATTCCAAAATATACTATTAGAGATCATAAGTCCAAACAATGGAATGTTTATATATATATATATATATAAATATACAGGTATGCTATAGACATTGCATATAAATTTTGTATATGGACACATATTTATTTATACACACCTGGAAACACATACTTATACAAATGTACAAATGTACAAGCTATACATACTTATACAAATGTAAAAGTTGTGTATTTCATAGGTTGTAAATTATATTCAAAGATTATTTTTTTACAATGCAAAGATTTTTTACAAAGTTGAGACAAATGGAGAGTAGTTTGCAAGTGGCACCACACTTTCCTTCGGTTTTTTTTAAGCAAATGTACACATATTTATACTCAAAATCTGAAATAATGTGAATTGATAACTGAATAGGGAACAATTTCACATGAACACCTAACCTCCAAAAATTTTCATTCTGCTCTATCATACGCCATAGCCATATGAAGTTTCAAACCAAAGAAGTTAAGAAATTTATTCCCTATAGTTTTTATATAAAGCTTGATAATTGACACTAATAATTTCTACTTTTTTTATTTTTTATTATCGTGAAGATTACATACAAGTTACGCTATCCAAAAAAAAAAAAAAAAAAAAAAAATTAGACCATATATGCAAGCCAAGCCGTTGGAAGATTTATACATCAAAGAACTGGATAAGTTTCTCCATGACTTTTCTTTATAGACTTTACATTCCACTAAAATAGACTAAGGACTCCTTTGGAGTTGAACACTCCCCTGAATTTGTATTATAGTAGTATAAAACAGCAAGTTTCCTACAACAATTAGCTGCAGAGGAGAACACAGAAGAAACAGAAAAGAGAAGATGGTAATTGCTATCTTTTTCTTTCTTCTTCTCCCTACTTTGCATACACCGTCAGCACAACAAACACATTCCAATATAAGCTTAGGTTCTTCACTAACACCCACCAGTACCAAATCCTCCTCTTGGTTATCCCGTTCCGGTTTATACGCCTTCGGCTTCTACAAGGAAGCCAATAGCTATGCGGTTGGCATATTTCTTGCTGGATTTCCTGAAAAGACTCTAGTTTGGACAGCCAACAGAGACGACTCTCAGCAGGTAGTCCCCAGCAATGCCACTTTGCTCTTGTCTATCGATGGACGATTACTCTTGCAGCCAACACAAGATCAAAACATTAATATAGCTACCCTTGTCCAATCCGCTTCTTCGGCTTCCATGCCTGATTCTGGCAATTTTGTCCTCTATAACTCCGATCAACAGATCATATGGCAGAGCTTTGAGCAACCAACCAACACACCTTTGCCCGGTCAGCGCCTCTCAAACGGGGCAGATTTGTTCTCTAGTGCTTCGGAAACTGACCACTCCAAGGGAATATTTCTTCTCGTGATGCAAGGGGATGGGAACCTTGTGCAGTATGCGGATGACAATCCGCGCACAACTAGTATGGCTTACTGGGCGTCTAACACGGATGGAGCAGGAAACAACGTGACCCTCAATCTTGATGATGATGGTTATCTTTACTTGCTAAACTCAAATTCCGTCCTACAAAACCTAACAACAGGAGGATATCCTAAAACAGGAATGATGTATCTGATGAGAATTGATGTGGATGGTATCTTCCGGCTTTATTCACACAGGTTGGATCAAAAAGGCAACTGGTCAATTCTATGGCAATCTTCAAATGATAAGTGTGACCCTAAAGGTCTATGTGGCCTTAATGGGTTTTGTACTACAATGGATCAGGAACCTGAGTGTAAATGTCTTCCAGGATTCGATTTTGTTGATCCAAACAAGTGGAGTTCAGGCTGCGAGAGGAATTTCACAGCACCAAGTTGCAAAGACAAGGGAGCACATGTCGAGTACGCCATGACGCCATTACCTAGCACCTCGTGGGAAGTGTGATACCCCTCGATTCTAGAGTCACGGGTGATCAAGTCCGAGCACAGAATACAAGGGATATCAAACAATTAATATTTAAACAAGCATTTAAATACAAAAAGAATAATAATGAAATAAATAAATAATAAGCTGAAGGAAACTAAATAATAAATCCCTATTTTAAAATCCTCAACTAAATAATAATTAAAAATCCAATAATAAAATCCTCCAATCCTCTGATACCAGTAATTAATTAAAACCACAACTTGAGAATCCATATTGTGGACCCCTAATAATATCTTAACTGAAATAACTGAACTGAAATAAAACTAATAATTAAATCATGAAGAAGAGTCCTACGCAAAGTCGGAAGAGTGAACGACTGTCTCTGTTCGGCACGAACAATCTCTAAGACTGGAACTGACGAACACCTGAAAAATAATGGTGGGTTAGGCCCACATACAAGTTCTAAATCTACTACATCCCAAACAGAGACCCAATACACGTACACATCCTAATTAATTCAACAATAACTAAATAGTCCATATATAGATATACACATACTAAAAGAACCTTACTAGACTATAGAGTTGTCTCAACCTGAATAGTAGGCAACATGCAAAACGCACATATAGTGGGCATGAATACCTAGAGCTACCAGGGTACACAACTACACTATATCTAGCTACACATCCCTGGCAATATATGCACCCTAACCACTGATCCTGAGATTCAAGCTCATATCGTGGCGTATAATTCCATATGTAAAATCCGTCCTATCCAACCATCAAAATAACATATCCAATTATTATTTCAATAATATGTCATCCAACTATTCCGTTGACCTGACACGAATAAGTAGGACTTAACACTGTGGTTAATCCGTTCCATTATTTAAAATAGGTAGGACTTAACTCTTAAGTTAATCCGTCCCTAATATGCCCCCATCCCATAATGTTGCATTAATCTATATCATAATCAAATAAAAGTTTCAAATCCAAGAATAATGTCAATAATGTTTACATATAACAATCCAAATAAATATGATATAAATCATATACACATCCTTTACATTTACTTGAGCAAAAACATAAATTCCAAATAGCATGCATTTAATTTACATCACAAGAAATTAACATGCATCTTAACTAAATTGTGTATCTCCATAATCTGATTAAATTAATTTAAATCTAAACAATTGATTAAGATAATTTAATCCAACCATATTTAATTAATTTATCATTTTTAAAAATTAATTAAATTTCAACTCTTAATGAATCTATTTAAATTAAATAAATATTTAAATTCAGATCCATCAATCAAAAAATAATAAATATCAGTTTAATATCCCAGCCTTCATCAAAATAATATTTAAAAAAATAATAATTCATGTAAAAGAATAAATGAATAACTTCTGACTGATTTCAGGCATATACTCCAACAGTATTCGCGTTTTGTTCGATGTGCATGCTTGATAAAAAAAAAAATAGATTTTTATGTCATGTATTCCATGCAAAACTGATTCATGCAAATACTGATTCCCCTCATTCAGCGTGTATGTCTTAAGAAGGGAAAGAAAAAAAAAAAATTTGAAATTTCCATTAATAAAACTGATGCATCTTTGACTTTTGTTTACTCCTTCCTCATTCGGCGTGCCTAAGGTGTAAAGAATAGCAGATTTTGATCTCGTACAGAAGCTCAAATTGATTTATGAAAATGTATATAAAAGTAACTTCCTCGTTTGGCGCACACCTTATGAACCAAATATGATTTCATCTATTAAAGACAAAACTGTTCATGAAACCAACAATTTATGTAAAGATAAAATACAATAAATAAAAAAATTAAGGCCACCTTATTAAAATACAAACTAAAATTTCTAAATTAATCCATGTAATTTGATTTAATTAATTTATTCAATGAACCTATAAGTAATCTAGCATGCATAGAGTACGAATCAAAGGAGAAAAGAAGAATTAAAACTTGCCTTTAGGAATTTGATAAAAATCATAACCTCCTTCTTCCTTTTTTTTCTCTTCCTTCCTCTTCCTTCTTCCTCTCTCTAAAATATAGTACGTGATATATTTTCTAACCTCTTTCACAACTCTATAGTTATATATTTATAGACAACTAAAATAACCCTAATCCTTTTTCCATTCCAAGACAAACTAAAATAAAATAAAATTTAAATACTAAAAAAGTAACTTAAATATATGTTACGTATAATCTATGTGTACTCCTTTTTATATATAATATATAAATATATTAAAGGACTTTTCTTATATATATTTATATATTATATATATTAAATATACATATACATGGGTAATTATCCGTACCTATTAAACCCCTTATCCAAGTAGTCCATGGAGCCCAATTGATTGGTCAATTACTACTATCCATATCCAATTCCTTAAAAATATAAAAATAAAATAAAAATAAAAATAAAACAATTAAATTCCTAAATAAATACATATCATCACATACAATTCAATTTAAACAAATAATTAAATCAATTATACAAATAAACAATTAGCCAAGAAAATAACTAAATAATTAAATGCAATTAAAACTATTAAAATAATACCGAGACTATCCTTTTTAAATTAGGGGTATTACATTCTTCCCCCCTAATAAAAGGAATTCCGTCCTCGGAATTCGCCCTTACAATCTTCCATTATATTTGGAAACTGTGAGCGAATGACATCATCTTGTTCCCAAGTAGACTCAGCCTCATTATAGTGACTCCATTAGACACGTACTAATGATATGACTTTATTACGAAAAACATGATCCTTACGGTCTATAATGCGACACGGTGGCTCCACATATGTTGCATCCGATTGCAACTCAATCTCACCGACATCTATGTGCTGATACCTATCCTCATCGCGCAAAAATTTCCGCAACATGGAAACATGAAACACGTTGTGGACGCGATCCAAATGATTCGGAAGTGCCAACCGATAAGCGACAGCTCGAACGCGATCCGTGATCATGAATGGACCGACAAACCGGGGTGACAACTTCCCTTTCTTCCCAAAGTGCATGACACCTTTCATAAGAGACACTTTGAGTAGAACCTGATCCTTAACCTGAAACTTCAATGCATGTGTACGACGATCCGCATAACTCTTCTGCCTACTCTGGGCAGTGCGCATGCGATCCCTAATAAGGACAATCTTCTCAGAAGTATCCTTAATGAACTCAGGACCCAAAAATCTGCTCTCGCCAACCTCCATCCAACAAACAAGAGATCTACATGGTCGGCCATATAATGCCTCAAACGGTGCCATACCAATAGTCTTCTGAAAGCTATTGTTATATGCGAACTCCATAAGTGGCAAATACTCCTCCCAATGGCCCTTAAAGTCAAGGACACAAGAACGAAGCATATCTTTCATTATCTGATTAACCCTCTCAGTCTGTCCATCAGTCTGAGGATGATAAGTAGTACTAAGATGCAACTCTGTACCCAAAGTCTGCTGAAAACTCTTCCAAAACCCTGATACAAAGCTCAAATCCCTATCCGATATAATAGATAACGGAATGCCATGTAACTTCACAATCTCTGTAATGTAAAGTCTCGCCAACTGTTCCGAAGTGTAATCAGTGCGAATAGGCAAGAAATGAGCTGATTTGGTCAACCTATCAACGATGACCCAAATGGAATTGTGATTCTTTAACGAATTAGGCAATCCCTCCACAAAATCCATAGAAATGCTCTCTCATTTCCACTCTGGTATCCGCAGGGGCTGTAGAGCTCCTAGCGGCCTAAAAATGATCAATCTTGACCATCTGACAAGTACTACATCGTGAGACAAATAGAGCAATGTCCCTCTTCATACCTGCCCACTAAAACTGCTGCTTTATATCCTGATACATTTTGTCACCTCCTGGATGAACCGAAAACTCAGAGTGGTGAGTCTCAGTCATCACATCCTTCCTCAACTCATCAGCAGAAGGTACCACTAACCTCCCCTTGTACCTCAAACCTTCATCAGCCCCAACATGGTAGAATGGAACCTCTCCGAAAGCTATCTTTGCAACTTTATCAATGCACTGCTGATCCGTGAGTTGTATCTTCAAAACTTTGTGAATAATAGAAGGTGTAACTACCATGCAAGCTAGGAAAGCATCCGACAATTCATCCACTCTCTTCAACGCATTCCACTCAGTAGTGAATTGAGCGGAAAGATTACCAACAGGTCGACGACTGAGTGCATCCGCCACCACATTCGCTTTCCCTGGATGATACTGTATAGAAAAATGATAGTTTTTCACAAACTCCAACCACCTGCGCTATCTCATATTCAGCTCCCGCTTAGTGAACAAATACTGCAGACTCTTGTGATCGCTGAATAATCTGAAGGACTCACCTAACAGATAATGCCTCCAAATACGTAAGGCAAAAACCACAGCTGCCAACTCCAAATCATGCGTTGGATAATTAAGCTCATGAGGCTTACGCTTCCGAGATCCATATAAAATCGGTCGCTCCTCCTGTATCAAAACACATCCAAGACCCTGCAACGAAGCATCTGTGTACACAAGATACTCTATCCCGCTCTGTGGGGTAGATAAAACTGGTGCAGAAGTCAACTTAGTCTTCAGCTCATCAAAAGTTTTCTGACAATGTTCATCCCACATGAACCGTACACCCTTCTTAGTCAAATGAGTGAGTGGTCCCGCTATCTTTGAAAACCCCTAGATGAACCTCCTGTAATATCCTGCCAAACCAAGAAAACTCCGAATCTCGGTAGGTGATGTAGGTTGTCCCCACTCAACCATCGCTGAAACCTTGGCTGGATCCACTGTTATTCCCCTTTCTAATACCACGTGACCCAGAAATTTCACTTCCCGCTGCCAAAATTCACATTTCTCAAACTTGGCATACAACTGGTGCTCACGAAGCGTTTGTAAGACTATCCGAAGATGACTAGCATGATCGTCCTCTGACCTCGAGTAAATCAAAATGTCATCTATGAAGACAATGACAAATTGATCCAAGTAAGCCCTGAAGACTCTGTTCATTAAATCCATGAAAACCGCTGGTGTATTAGTCAACCCAAACGGCATCACCCGAAACTCATAAGATCCATATCTAGTGAGAAACGCTATCCTCGGAACATCCTGCTCCCGAACCCGAAGTTGATGATATCCAAACTGCAGATCAATCTTAGAGAAATAAGTAGCTCCCTTCAACTGATCAAACAAGTCATCAATCCTGGGCAAAGGATACTTGTTACGAATAGTAACCTTGTTCAACTCCCTGTAATCTATACACAAGCGGAGTAAACCATCCTTCTTTTTCACAAATAAAACCGGTGCTCCCCAGGGTGAAGTCCTCATGCGAATGAAACCCAGGCTGAGTAGCTGCTGAATCTGATCCCTCAGCTCCCGCATCTCCACTGGTGCCATCCTATACGGTGCCCTAGCAATAGGCGTAGTGCCTGGAGCTAAGTCTATCACAAAGTCGATCTCGCGACTAGGTGGCAACCCTGAAATCTCCTGAAATATATCCGGGTAATCCTGTACAATTGGTATGTTATCCAATAATACAGTAGTCCCCTCCTCCGTTTCCTCCTCCATATTAAACAAATAGGTACTAGTGACCCCCCTAGAACGCGGCATAACGATGACGTACATGTCATGACCAGGTATAGTGAAAACAACTGACCTATCATAACAATCAACTTGGGCATGGTAATGCAATAACCAATCCATCCCAAGTATCACATCATAAGTGTGTATGTCCAGGATCAAAAGATTAGCTAGAAATCTGAGTCTACCAATATCTAGTGTCACAGGCCCATCACTCTCATGAAGAATGGTTGTATTGCCTAACGGTGTAGAAATTCCATGTGGTTTACTACATAGCCAAGTCATCATCCCAGACAAAGCAACAAATGACCTAGCTATAAATGAGTGTGTAGCACCCGTATCAAATAAAACACGTCCATGAAAACCATGTATAGGAAACTTACCCTCAACAGCCTGAGGTGCCTGCATATCCTGTGGCATGGGGTTGTACACCCTGCAATAATGTAACTGCTGCGGTGCCTGTCCCTGAGGTTGCGGCGGCGCTGGTAAAGCCGGATATGTTTGTCCCTGAATCCATGGAACCTGTGGAGCTGGTAAAGGCACTGGCGCCCTCTGCCCCTGCTGCACATGCTGTCCCTATCTCTGTCCCTATCTTACTGTAGGACACTGCCTAGAAGTGTGACCATACTCTCCACAAGTGTAGCAACTACCCTGGAAAGTACCAAATGGCCTCCTCTGTCGGTTAGCCAGTGGCTGACCCTGTCCTGCCTATGGTCCCCTATTCTGCTGTCGCTGAATAGATGCCACATCCCTGGGAACATCTGAACCACCCTTGTGTTTCTTCCAAGGCTGCTGTCCCTGGAACTTGCCCTTGTCATTCTGTCGGTGTCCGTTCCTATTCCCTTTCTTAGCTGACTGATTAGCAGAGTCTTTGTCACCTCGCTTCTCACCCTTGGCCTGTCTGATATCCACGGTCAATTGATACTGCTGTAAAGCGGCGTCTACCACCTGAGCATAGGTAGTATAGGCTGGACTACCCGTAATAGCTCTCTTGATAGACCACATCAGTCCCTTGACGAAACTGTTGCGCTTCTTCTCCTCTGTATCCACCTCCTCCGGTGCAAAGAGAGACAAGCGTGTGAACTGCTGCTCATACTCCGCTACTGTCATGTTCCCCTGCTGCAGATTAAGAAACTCAGTCTTCATGGCTGCCCTAACTGCATAAGGGAAATACTTCTCTTTAAAGCGTGCACTGAACTCATTGTAAGTCAATGCCATCCTCTCCTCTGCGGTGGTAACCGACTCCCACTACTGTAATGCATCCCCAACTAGCTTGAAGGTGGCAAACATCTGCTTCTGAACCTCCGTGCAATGAACCAAACGAAGATGTCGCTCGATATCCAATTTCCACTGATGAGCTGCTCTCGCATCGGTGGAGCCTGTGAACTCAGGTGGACTCCCCTTTGTGAAAGAACTCCTGGCCTTCTCCCAAGTATCAGTCTGAACAACCGATGCTGGTAACAGTGCCGGCTGTACTTGAGGCTGATTCCGAAGTGCAGCGATTACCCCTACTTCTATAACCCGAGCAATAAGGTCATTGAGGTGAGGAGGAAACTCTGGATCTCCTCCCTGATCCCGAGTCTGTTGAACTTCCTCATGCTCCTCATAGAACTGACCCTCATCCTCCTGACGCTGCCTACGGACCGCTTCCCTTTGTTGCTTGTTTCTCTGATTGTCCCGTCTTCTTCTAGCATTAACCATTCTGTTAATATAGAAAGACAGACATCAGTACGATTTAACCGAACCATAAAGAATACAATGAATCCTAAACTTAGGCTCTAAATAAAAGAATACGCTACGCGGAAGTCTTAAAACGATAGATACCTAGAGACACTTGAACCTGGAGTGCTCTGATACCAACTGTGATACCCCTCGATTCTAGAGCCACGGGTGATCAACTCCGAGCATAGAATACAAGGGATATCAAACAATTAATATTTACACAAGCATTTGAATACAAAAAGAATAATAATGAAATAAATAAATAATAAGCTGAAGGAAACTAAATAATAAATCCCTATTTTAAAATCCTCAACTAAATAATAATTAAAAATCTAATAATAAAATCTTCTAATCCTCTAATACCAGAAATTAATTAAAACCACAACTCGTGAATCCATCTTGTGGACCCCTAATAATATCCTAACTGAAATAATTGAACTGAAATAAAACTAATAATTAAATCATGAAGAAGAGTCCTACGTAGAGTCGGAAGAGTGAATGACTGTCTCTGTTTGGCACGAACAATCTCTAAGACAGGAACTGACGAACACCTGAAAAATAATGGTGGGTCAGGCCCACATACAAGTTCTAAATCTACTACATCCCAAACAGATACCCAATACACGTACACATCCTAATTAATTCAACAATAACTAAATAGTCCATATATAGATATACACACATTAAAGGAACCTCACTAGACTATAGAGTTGTCTCAACCTGAATAGTAGGCAACATGCAAAACACACATATAGTGGGTATGAGTACCTAGACCTACCAGGGTACACAACTACACTATATCTAACTACACATCCCTGGCAATATATGCACCCTAACCACTGATCCTGAGAATCAAGCTCATATCGTGGCGTATAATTCTATATGTAAAATCCGTCCTATCCAACCATCAAAATAACATATCCAATTATTATTTCAATAATATGTCATCCAACTATTCCGTTAACCTGACACGAATAAGTAGGACTTAACACTGTGGTTAATTCGTTCCCTTATTTAAAATAGGTAGGGTTTAACTCTTAAGTTAATCCGTCTCTAATATGCCCCCATCCCATAATGGTGCATTAATCTATATCATAATCAAATAAAAGTTTCAAATTCAAGGATAATGTCAATAATGTTTACATATAACAATCCAAATAAATATGATATAAATCATATACACATCCTTTGCATTTACTTGAGCAAAAACATAAATTCCAAATAGCATGCATTTAATTTACATCACAAGAAATTAACATGCATTTTAACTAAATTGTACATCTCCATAATCTGATTAAATTAATTTAAATCTAAACAATTGATTAAAATAATTTAATTCAACCATATTTAATTAATTTATCCTTTTAAAAAATTAATTAAATTTCTTACTAAGCATGTAAACTTAAATCATGCATTCCAACTCTTAATGAATCTATTTAAATTAAATAAATATTTAAATTCAGATCCATCAATCAAAAAATAATAAATATCAGTTTAATATCCCAGCCTTCATCAAAATAATATTTTAAAAAAAATAATTCATGTAAAAGAATAAATGAATAACTTCTGACTGATTTCAGGCATATACTCCAACAGTATTTGCGTTTCGTTCGATGTGCATGCTTGATAAAAAAAAATAGATTTTTATGTCATGTATTACATGCAAAACTGATTCATGCAAATACTGATTCCCCTCATTCAGCGTGTATGTCTTAAGAAGGGAAAGAAAAAAAAAAAATTGAAATTTCCATTAATAAAACTGATGCATCTTTGACTTTTGTTTACTCCTTTCTCGTTCGGCGTGCCTAAGGTGTAAAGAATAGCAGATTTTGATCTCGTACAGAAGCTCAAATTGACTTATGAAAATGTATATAAAAGTAACTTCCTCGTTTGGCGCGCACCTTATGAACCAATTATGATTTCATCTATTAAAGACAAAACTGTTCATTAAACCAACAATTTATGTAAAGATAAAATACAATAAATAAAAAAATTAAGGCCACCTTATTAAAATACAAACTAAAATTCCTAAATTAATTCATGTAATTTGATTTAATTAATTTATTCAATGAACCTATAAGTAATCTAGCATGCATAGAGTACGAATCAAAGGAGAAAAGAAGAATTAAAACTTGCATTTAGAGATTTGATAAAAACCCTAACCTCCTTCTTCCTTTTTTTCTCTTCCTTCCTCTTCCTTCTTCCTCTCTCTAAAATATAGTACGTGATATATTTTCTAACCTCTTTCACAACTTTATAGTTATATATTTATAAGCAACTAAAATAACCCTAATCCTTTTTCCATTCCAAGACAAACTAAAATAAAATAAAATTTAAATACTAAAAAGGTAATTTAAATATATGTTACGTATAATCTATGTGTACTCCTTTTTATATATAATATATAAATATATATCAGATTATTATTAAAGGACTTTCCTTATATATATATATATATATATATATTAAATATACATATACATGGGTAATTATCCGTACCCATTAAACCCCTTATTCAAGTAGTCCATGGAACCCAATTGATTGGTCAATTACTACTATCCATATCCAATTTCTTAAAAATATAAAAATAAAATAAAAATAAAAATAAAACAATTAAATTCATAAATAAATACACATCATCACATACAATTCAATTTAAACAAATAATTAAATCAATTAAACAAGTAAACAATTAGCCAAGAAAACAACTAAATAATTAAATGTAATTAAAACTATTAAAATAATACCGAGACTATCCTTTTTAAATTAGGGGTATTACAGGAAGACTATCAATACTCGGTGTTATCATCAGTGCCAACTGCAGAAGATTGCAAAGAAGCCTGTTTGGAGGATTGTAACTGTGAGGCTGCACTATACACGGGCACAGAGTGCAGAAAGCTGAGGCTTCCTTTGAGATATGGAAGAAGATTGATGACTGAATCAACAGTTGCTTTCATCAAGGAGGGAACATCTAAACCCATCATGAATGGTGTCCCAACCAAGAAAAGGATAAGATTGGACATTCTGATCATCAGTATTTTGCTTGTTGCTTTGGCATTGTTGTGTTGGTGATTTCTGGAGTCCTTATATATAGAAATCGTGTGTGGGCATATAAGAAGATCTCTGAGAACGGGAATGTGGAATTAGGTGCGGATGTTGTTCCAGGAGCATTCACGTATGCAGAACTAGAGCAAGTAACAAATGGTTTCAAGGAAGAGTTGGGTAGTGGATCTTTTGGGAAGGTATATAAAGGTGCTCTGTCGTCAAATAAGAAAATGGTGGCTGTGAAGAGACTCGAGACAATGTTAGCAGAAGGGGAAAGGGAATTTCTAGTCCGGCTGCTTGGTCACTGCCTTGGTAGGCCTAACAGGCTTCTGGTGTATGAATACATGACCAATGGGTCATTTGCAGATATACTCTTCGCACCTGAAAATCGGCTAAGTTGGGATGAAAGAATTAGAATTGCTCTGGGCATTGCTAGAGGCATTCTTTATCTGCATGAAGAGTGCGAAACGCAGATCATCCATTGTGACATCAAACCTCAAAACATACTCATGGATGAGTACAGGTGTGCCAAAATTTTTGACTTTGGATTGGCGAAGCTTCTAAAGCCTGATGAGACTAGGACCTTTACCAGGATCAGAGGAACAAGTGGTTATGTTGCGCCTGAGTGGCATTGTAAACTTCCCGTGACGGTTAAAACAGATGTTTATAGCTTTGGAATTGTGTTGTTAGAGATCATATGTTGTAGGAGGAGTGTAGATTCGAGCCTTCCAGAGGATGAAGCTGTTCTTGAAGAATGGGTTTACGATTGTTTCAACGCTAGTGAGATGGGTAAACTCGTGGGTAATGAGCAGATTGACAAGCGAAAACTGGAGAGAATGGTTAAAGTAGGGCTCTGGTGCATCCAATATGAGCCATCCCTTCGTCCTTCAATAAAGAAAGTGTTATTGATGATGGAAGGAACTGTAGACATCCCAGTACCTCCCAGTCCTACTTCTTTTCTAAGTGCCATATAGTTTTTTTGGTTAGTTCCTCTTTGTTTTTCCTTGATAAAGTATTTGTATTCAAACTCTAAAGTCAGTCACACTGTCCTTTGGATGCTCTGCTATCACTTCCATTACTCTGTTACAAATTTACAATCGGTTTCGAACCATTTTGTAGAAAGAACCTATTGCATTTTTACTTGTCCTGCTAAAATTATCACAAAAGTAGATGAGTTTTTGATTGAATTGTAGGTTCTTACACCACTGTCCTAGTATGTTAATTAGGTGGTATCAGGTTGAACTCAGTTTAATCTTGAGTCCTCTTCTTGCAAGGCAAAAGGTGAGATTTAGTTAAAATGAGTTTGTTTTAAGGGGGTCGGATATTTGATTATGTAATTTTGTTTCCTTTTGGGTAAAGATCATAATAATAGTTTGATGATTGCTGAGAATCAACATAGGAGTTAAACATTCCAATAGATTTTCCACACTTTGTCCATATGAAAACATGTACTCTAACATTCTATTTGAGGAAGTTAAGAAATTATAACTGGATTAAAATCCTAGTTTTTGGTTTTTTTTTACTCACTGAATGAGTACCTACAATCTTACACGTATAGAAGTCTCAGTTTCATATATTTAACTTCATACAATCTCTCATCAGGTTTCATCTTGGGTTTTGTCGTCTCAGTCCTTTGTGGCTTTCCTTTCATAGCATTTTAAAGTAACCATGTTACATTAGATAATTTAACATCCCAATACAGTAAACAAATGTATCAAAATTCCAAACAATAGTATATTTCAATTCTACTATTAATGATGGAGTGATGACCAAACTCGATTTTCTTGAAGGCGCCTAACAATAAACAGCCAATGACCATAACTTCAGAGAAATCTGAAAACCAATAGTTTGGGTGGACTTATTATTTTTATTTATTTAATTATTTTGCCCTTAATTGAAATGGTTAAAATGAAAATTCAACCATTTTGAATTTCACCAACATAAACTTCACTATTCTGAATTTCAACCATTTAAATGGTCAAATTCTATCTTTTTTATGATTTCAGCACCATGAATTTGCATTGTACCAAACTGGCTCTTAGAGACGGGCTGGAGTGAGATGGAAGAGAAAAGGGGCGGTGGAGGAGGTGGAAAGGGAAGAGAGAGAATAGAGAAGAATATTGAGAGTATTTTTTTAACAAGGGGTTATGTTGCGCCTGAGTGGCACTGCAAACTGCCCGTGACAGTTACAGTAGATGTTTTCAGTTTTGGAATTGTGTTGTTTGAGATCATATGTTGCCGGAGGAGTGTCGATTGGAGCCTTTCAAAGGATGAAGCTGTTCTTGAAGAATGGGTTTATGATTGTTTCTACGCTGATGAGGTGTGTAAACTTGTGGGTGATGAGCAAGTTGACGAGAGAAAACTCGGGAGAATGGTTAAAGTAGGTCTCTGGTGCATTCAAGATGAGCCATAACTCCACCCATCAATGAAGGAAGTTTTATCTGTGCTGGAAGGAACTAAAGACATCCCAGTACCTCCCAGTTCTACTTCTTTTGTAAGCGTCATATAGTTTTTCTTTTTAGTTCCTCTTTGTTTTTCCTTGATCTAGTTTTTCTGGCATTACTTTATCTATGACCTGAACTTGTCATAAATTTGAAGAAAGATTTGAGCGATTCATCCAAAAACTCAAGAGAATAGTTCTAGTTATTGCTAAATGAATTAAGTTTTTTTGCCTGATTTTTAGTTCTACTGTATATAGGGGTTCAAATTTCATCAACTGGTCAAAAATTGAAAGAGAAAGAAAAGATCAAATTACTTTTTTCCAGTAGTTCACATGTAGTTCCAATTATTCACACCTTATGTTCTATTTCCATCTTAAGTACAATGTTCTCTAACTAATTTTTTTCTTTTCTCTAATGTTTTTAATTTTTGTCTATGAATCAAGGCTGAAATAACTTTGAACAAAGGTTTACTGGTTGCTTAGAAAAATCAAGAGAATATTTCCTCTTAAAGTTAAATGATCTAATTTTTTGCCTGCTTTTAAAATAATGTAATGTAATGATTATTTTCATCAAAAAAAAAAAAAAAAAAAAAAATTAAAAAGGGGTCAAATTTCCTTTCTGTAATATGTGGAATAGTGATTTATGAGCATGCCGAAAAGGGATGAGTACTTGCTTAACCAGAATTGGAGCCGTTAGATTTATAATTCAATTTTTTTTAGTAAAAGTGGCCCTGAATCAACTATCAAGTATCCAACGCCACACTAGTCTCCCAAGCCCTAGGTCAAGGGTTTGAGATTGGTATGAAGAAGAAAGGAAAATTAAAAGGTAAAATTTAAGCCAATGTTTAAAACCATGATAGAATCAGATCTGCACAAATTATTCACTCGAATATCAGATCAAATGCAAAAGAATCTTTAAAAAGCATACAAAATACCAAAACTAAAATGATTCACAAATGTATTGAGATGAGTGGAATCCATTTGGTATTTAAAATGCAGAGGAAATCTTTAACTAGATGGCTAACTCACTCGATTCCATTAAAGCCTCTAGCATTTCTTTTTTGAACAATGACGATCAACTATCTTTGGAAGATCTTTTCCATCACGTTCGCCCACCTTGCCTCTTCCTGCTGGTTGCCCACCTCCACGGCGTTCCGGTACAGGCGCTTCGCGGCCTTTAGCTGAGCATTGTCTTTCGCCATTTTTGGCTGTGAAGAAGATGGATCAGATCTAGGGTTCTTAGGGTCTCTTTTCTGTTTTTATGCGGTTTTGTACTTGTGGTTTGTTTAAAGGGAAATTTACATATAAGTGGTACCAGCAAAGTTATATTACCCATACATGAACATGAACATAGTTTGCTTATTTACCATCGCATGAACTAAAAATCAAAGTATTTTATTTGAATCCTTTAGTATTAAAATTATATTTTCACCCCTACAAGTTTACTTTATGCACAATTTACCCAAAGAACAACTTGTTTAAGTCTTAGAATTTTATCAAACAGCACTTAGGAATTGCTACATAGCACTAGAATTAGGAGACACAACGCATAGTTTACAAAGAAGAATCGAAGAACTTAGATCTATAATTATATTAATACAAAATATTTTAGAAACTAGACGGCAACGATTTTAGTTTATGAATATAATAGAATTTAATAATTTAGATAACTCTATAAAACGATTAGGAGAAAATCTTGATTATATTAAAGAATAAGTAGTACAGAATTCTAGTCTAAATAATTTAGATAACAAGATAATATTAGTCGCAATTAAAGATATCAATTGTGATATTAAAAATATTGCTGAAATCAAAAAATAATTATAGATTACTTAAAATCCCTTAAAACTGATATCCAAAAGTTATTACAATAGTTTTATGAGCACTAGTAATCCTAATTATCTAACTGCATTAGTTGACCTTTACAAAATTGATAAAGAACCCATAGGATTTACAAGTTTTAAAACAGACATACAATCAACTGATAAACATATTAGACAAAATAACTTTTTAATTCAGTTATTACTCCAGTTATCTGATAAAGTTAATAAACTTGAAGAAAAATTAGAAGTGATACAAGAAAGTATTCCCAAATAATCTTCTAAAAAATTATCTGAATTATCAGAAAAAATAAAGGAATAAAAATTGTTAACTAATAATCAGTCATCTTCTGCAACAACCAAGCGTGTAAATTTACTACAACCTCAACCTCATAAGCAAATACCACAATAGCCATTATCCTCAGAAAAGCTAAAGAAATAATGAGAGTAAAAGATTTATATGATAATGAACATGATGCTAAAAAATATATAAAATAAGGAATGAAAAAGGTTAAAAATAAAGTTAATCTTTATTCCAATAATTTATTAGACTTCAAGAGCAAGATATACAATCATTTTAATCAAAGGAAAATAAGTGCAGTTAACAATCAAATTATTTTAGACCTTATAACACTCGAAGCATGCCAAGAATTAAATGATAATAATTTAGAACTCATGCATTTAGGCGTCATAATGATATGATTAGTAGGATTAAACAGAGCAGAGATAGGAACTAGAGCATTTGCTTATATTTATGATAACCGATGGAATAACCATCAACAAGCACAAATAGCCAGCGCCGAAATAGATTTAGCCAACAATGCAACAATAGTATGATGTATTCTCAATTACATAATGACTACTAGAGAATTCAGTAAACATATTAAAATAGCTATATCTACAAAATGATACAATATGACAGGACAATTTGAAAATCTATTAGTTAATACTTTATTTATGGAAAAATCAGTTAATCAGTATAACTTAAAATTTAAAGCCCAATTTAGTGAAATAGTTAAACCTTATAGTAGAAAATATGTCCAGATGATAGAAGCCAGAAAAGTAAGTAGTATTACCCATGAAGGAATAGAATAGAAATTACCTAAACTTACTACTACACCTAAAAAGATTCCCGAAAATAATATGATATATGTTACAAGTAGCGCAGAAGCTAGCATAAGGTTTAGTAATTATAAAAGACAAGACAATTTAATAGATGATACCCCAAGAAGATTTTTTAACTACACTGATAGAAATAAAGTCTCCTGAAGAGATAAATGTCCTTTATGATAGATTGGAAGATGAAATTCTAGATAAAATAATGTACGATTTTGATAATTTAGAGTTAGAAACGTTGCAAGACAAGTATCCAGAACCTAAATACAAACTTATAGAAAGTATTTACTTAGGACAAGGAAATAATGATGATATTAAGAAAAATATTCTAAGCGTATGATTTGAATCTTTCTATACAACATCAGAGTTAAACACAGTAAAAGAAGAGTTAAATGTAATAGAACATAGAGAAGGAAAAGCACCAGAATGATCAGAATCTAAGTCAATTAACCAAGAAATGACTGACCAAAGAAAGACTAACGCCTCAGGTAGTAATACCATAAATGACGACTATACTACTGGACTAAGATTAAATCCCTCACGTGAAACTTATGTAGAAAATAGAAATATACCAGATATGTACACATTAACACAATATCGTAGACAATATCAAAATATACCAGCACAACAAGTAGGAACAATATTAGACATAGCAAGACACGATCCCTAAGATTGGGCAAAAGTAATCGAAAATTGGGAACAAGATTGTATTAGGTAATCTATTTTGACCAATTTTGACAATAGAACTCAAGCCCTAACCTATTGTGAAACCTTATTAAGAGGAACCATTCATGACTGGTGGTAGTCTTATAAAGTAACCTATCCCAATGATTATGCCTTCTTACAAGATAATTTTACAATTCAAGGCTTTACCAGCCTAATAAAAAAGGTATTAGTTGGCGAAGATAGATTATTAGATGACACCTTAATAAAGCAAAACGAAGCTTTACGTAATTTAGAATTATTGCAGATTTGTGATTTTAGATACATAAAAGACTACACCAATAAGTTTTTCGAGTATTTTGCAGCCACTGGTAAAACATGAGATAAAACCTTACTCGATAGGTATCTTCAGAAGTTACCCGGAAGTGTAGGAACTAAAATATGGGAAAAATGGTTAGAAAATCCTAGACGCGATACGTTAACCATAAAAGATAGAGTTAATCATGTGTATAACATATTAAAAGCAGAATGTAGACAACGTAAAAAATCCAAACAAATCAAAAAACAATTTTATTATACGTGTAGACAAATAGATTTTCCACCCCAGTATGATTGTATGCCTCGAAAAAATTATTATAAGCGTAATAAACCTAAAAAATACAATCTACGCAAAAGTAAGACCTACAAGAACTATCATAATAAAAAACCTTATGTCAAAACTAACCATAGGCAATTTATAAAATGACCTTGGTATAAAAAATAAAAAATAAATAAAGATAAAAATGATAATAAAGACAAAGATAATAAGGTAAACACTTTACCCACAAAAGAACGACATTGCAAATGATTCCAGATTTATTTAGGGGTTGTTCTGGGGTTGTTCAGTAGTGATTAAACTCATTTTAACATCTCAGAAGTTACGGTAGCACAGAATAAAACCTAGGAAGCAAAGGTAGACCGGAGTAGGAGACTCTTCAAAAAGTTGCTATTTTGGTTGGGATATGCAAGTTACTTATATTTAATTTGCAATTGATTTATGGGATTTGAGGTTTAAATCATGTCACAATGTTATAAAAAAATAAGTATGTCAGTTATGATAACTCTCCGTTATGCATAGGTAGGAACGGTTGAGAACACTTAAGGAAGTTTGTGTGACGACTTTGTTATAGACAATTCAAGTTGCTTGTTCTTAAACTTAGTAATTGAATTAAGAAGTTTATGTTTAAATCATGAAACAATGGTATGGGATTAAGCATATCAACTAACATAAGTTGGAGCCGCCTCCAAACCACTTGGAGCCTCCTCCAAGTCTCTTTGAGCCAGCTCCAAAATATTTTGGAGCCGCCTCCAACTTCCTCCTCTCCTCTCTGCTTCTTCTCTTCAACTACGTCTTCTCCGGTGACGTCTAGTTTGATCCGTCCTTAACTCCAATGATTTCTACTGATTAAAATTAAGCCCTAGTGTGTTCCAAAGTTAATTAAATTCATTAATCAATGACCAACGTCAATCAACAATTAAACCGGATCACTTAACCATTCATAAACACATACTATTTCAAGTAGACAACCATGCGAACCAGATTAATTTTAATGTTTTAGAACTAATGAGATTCTTTATCCATCAATTTACATTATTTAACTCACAAATTATGTAAAAAGAATGCAAAACAAACAATTTACAGTTCATGAACACATGTTAATTAAACAGTGCAAGCATGCGAACCAGATTGATTTTAGATCTTTATTTACACTTGGAATTGTACTAGAGATGCAAAGAATATAAGTCAAAGGGAGAGAGATAAGATTAGAACTTGCCTTTGAGGTTTGGGTTCAAAACCTCTGCGTCGTCTTCCTAAATTTTCCGGTCATCTTCCTAGATTCTCTGGTGACTCCTACTGTCCTCAACTCTTCTGTTTCCTCCTTGGTTCAACACATGAACCAACACTCCTTTGCCAAAACCCTAGGTTTCCTCTCTGTTTCCTTCTTAAACCTCTCTCTATTTTGCTCTGCCTCTAGTACGTGTATTGGGTTCTGAGACCCTTAACAGATTATACATGTGTATATATAGGCTTATAAAACTCAACCCTAGTTTTACATGTATATACAAGAATACAACCGACGAAATAATTAATTCTATACTAAGTCGGCTATATAAAAAACGTGACTACACAAAAACAAAACCCTAATTAAACAATTGAAACAAATAATACTAATTTAATTAAACAAACCAATTAATCAACCAACTAAATTAAAACAAATAAACAATTAATTTAAATAAAGTTAAATCATAATTAAATAAGTACAACAAAATAAATAAACAATTAAAGCAAACCATATAACCAATTTCAATTAAACACTTAATCAATTAAGCAACAAAACACATAAGTTACATAATTAAATTAAATAAAAATGCAATAAAAATCAAAATTAAATACCCATTTTATCCTTTTGAAAACTAGGGGTATTACACAGTCCAATGTGGTGTTTTCCATCTAGAGATGCTTAGTCCTCTCACTATTAAGGTTTGGTCGTCTAAGACCAAACTCTATCTCATATCTGGCAGCAGCCAACTACCAAGGCTTGATCGTTGAAGACTAAGGCCTGGTCCTTCTGCGCCTACATAAGTGAGTTGGTCTCCGCCCATCAAAAGATCACTACCAACAAGGGGGTTTCTACCT